CTAGGTTAGGAAAGAAGAAAGAAGAAAACGGGAAAAGAAAAAGGAAAAGAAGAAGAAGAAGAAGAGAGAACATACACAAATTTATGTCTTAAATTCTTACAAATCCTACTTTAACACCCAAGTTATCACCTAAAAGCTCGAACGAAGAACGATGCGACAACAGTCTTGCATATAAAACTACACAACCACATGTAGAACACAAAAGCATGAATCGGGACACGAAGTAGGTGTAGAAATCACGTCCCGAATATACACTCCTAGCGTACAGCACAAGCGGAGGAGGAGAAGGAGGACAGGACACTACGTAGTGGACAAACATTGCTGCTGGATTTTTACCAAATGATTCATATTACTCAGGTATATGCCTAGCAATGTTCTTCTAAATGACATGTATAAAATCTTTTAGTAAATTTTTGAAAGAAAATAGTTTTTAAATTCCGAGACAAAGTCATGAATACTTTCAATAAGTCTATCCAAGCATGTCCAAGCATCTCTGAGCTTTGTTTGTAATGTGTGTTATTACAAGCAATGCTCCATATGAATGAAAATATTGAAATATATAGGATATTCAGTTATATCATAAAAAACGACGCTTAGTATTATCATTAGAGATAAATTGAAATGGTGTGTTCAGTATAATGGACAATATTGTCATTTAAATATTATTTTACGAAGTAATTGCACAAAGATCCCATTTTATTTGAATGAAAATTTGTTTGTTTTTCTTTTATAATGCTTGTTGACACCTAATTTTTAGCTCATTTTTTGTCATATTTTCAAAAATTTCAAAATTAGGTCTAGGAATCTTGGCCAAGCCTTGAAATCTATTTCTAAACCAAAAATAATAATTTTTTAGCATTTTTATGCATTTTTTCTTAATTTCTTTTAGTCAAAATAGGCAAGAAAATCAAGGAAAATAGTAAATGGAATCAGAAAATTTCATAAAAATAGTCATAAGTTTTCTTTTAAATCCAATTTCATAGATACACTGTCAATTTTAGAAAATCTCAATTGGGTATATGTTTTTCCCAAATTGGGCAAAATTAAACCCAAATTGAATAAAAAATGAAATTAAATTTTTTCTAGACATTTTTAAGTCATAGTATCTTCACAACAATTGATTCTGGGACCTTGAATTGTACAATGGTTGGTCCAATTGCACAATTTGACATAAAAATAAAAAATCCCCAAAATTTGATTGAAAATTAAAAATTTTGAACTCAAATTGGGAATTGTGCCCAAAATGAAATTTTCGAAATATGAGACTATCATTTCTAGGGTTAATCAGGGGTGGGTAATTCAATTTTGGCATCAATTTTTCCTAATTAGGTCATTAGGACATCAAATTAAACAAAACCCTATTAACCCGAATATAAAAATGAGAAAATCTTAGGCTCAATTACAATAAAATTTGGGGAAAATTATATCCTTGGATTCAAATATGATGTAGAATTCAATTTCGGGTTTTAATTTGAAAAAATCGGTTGAAATTGAGTCCAATTTGAGTGTTTAGTCAAAACTGGAACTGCCGGGTCGGACAGGTCGACCCGACCCGAACAGTGCATCTTTTTTACCCGGTTCGCTCAAAACACAGAAAAAATTAACTTGCACCCGAGACTTCACCGACTTCGTGTGGGCAATTTAACACGTTTTAATCAAGTTTTCCAGCTGGATATTGTCCAGCTGGCACCGGTTAACAACCCAAACGGATTGGAAGTCGATTCTAACCGAATTTGAGCGGGAAATTGATTAACAAAAAGGGAGAAAAACTGAAGAACAAGGAGAGAAGCTGTTCGACAGATTACCGAAGAGAGAGAAAGAGAGAGAAACAACGCGAAAGAAAGAGAGAGAGAGGGTGGTAGATCCTCCCACGAGTGTTCGGCGCCGCCCTAGATGGCGAAGCGCCGGCGAATCGTGCGATTGATTGAGATCTCCCCTCACTGTTCGAGTCGGAAAATCTGACCGTGAAGGCCTGAAAACAAGCTCCATCCGGCCAGTCCAGACCTGTTCCGGCGAAACCGAGACCACCAGGGTGAATAATAAGTGTCAAGGAACAATCCTCTGGGCGTAGATCACTTCGAAAATTTCATTTGGACATCGAACGAAGCAGGTAAATCTCGTTTAAGGTCACGGTTTTTCCAGAATTAAAAAAATGTTATTTGGTTTAATCCCGGTTGTTTTCGCGATTTTCTTTACAATTTTGTATTCATGGATGTTCATTACTAGTTTATAATCATTTTTCATGTTGATTGATTGCATTTTGGGCATAAAAAACGCATGAACCGAGTCGGCCCCCCCATGTGAACCATCTCGCCGGAGCTCCGATGACCTCGCCGGAGCATTGCCATGGCCGTAGGGCCATTCAAGTTAGTCTCCCTGACCTTGTTTGATATTTTGATGGTTGTTTGAACCGATTTAGACGGCTAGGGCGATTAGGTCTGAGATTTGTATTCTGGAAAAGTTTTTGCCAAAAACAGTTTGCAAGTTAATGTTTTTGAACTAATTTTTTGCTGGCCAGCGAAAGTCCGGTGGCGAGTTAATTAGGCTAGCTTGATAATAAAACATGAGGACTTAATGATGATGCAAGTGGAACGGCGAAATAGTCGCCGGAAGGTCGCCGGCGGTGAGCCCAAACCGGTGGCCTCGGAAACATTAAGTACAAATTCATGCACACCACCAGGTGCTCGACCTAATGCATCAATGAAAATATCCCTAAACGGTGTCGTTTCTGTCGTTGGGCTCGCCGGAGAGGGTGATCGGCGCCGACGCCGGCGACGGCCGGTTCGGTCTCGGCCGAACCGGTCTGAACCGGTCCGGTCCGGTTCAATTTTCCGGTGGAAAAATTCAAAAATTAAAAAAAATATAAAAAAAAATCACAAAAATCATAAAAAAAATTAGAATTTTTTTAGAAAATCAGAAATTTAAAAAAATTCATAAAAATTCAAAAAAAAATTCAGAAAAATAAAAATTTCAAAAAATTCATAAAAATCCGGAAAATTCGGAAAATACAAAATAAAAAAATTTGAAAAATTTTGGAAAATCAATAAAAATTGAAAAATTGGAAAATTTATAAAAATTTCCAGAAAATCATAAAAAAATCAGTTCTCGATTTAAAAAAATTTTCCGGAAAAAAAATCGAAAAATAAAATCAAAAATCAAAAATTTTGAAAATCCACAGAATTATTCAAAATCATCGTGGCCAGCCATAAAAAGTGAAATTTGAATTTTCGGAAGTGCCCAAATGGCATTTTTGGAAAATTTCAAATTTTAGGGTAAAACCCTTAAAAAAAAAACCTAAACCCAAAAATGTACCATTAAATGAACAAGCTAGTAGAGCTTCATTAGGGTTTGGGCATTTTACTAAATTTTCATTTTTAGTGGCTAAATTAGGGTTGCTATGATTGATTTGCCATTAGTTGTGCATTTGATGCTCGGGTGCTTAATTGTTTGTCTCTGATTAGATTAGTGAATTGACAGTAGGGATCCGTGTGATACGTTAGACAAGCCATATCGTTCTTAGGTACCGAAAGGGAGTTAATGGTCTCAATTTGGGATCGTTAACATAACCAAGTCCCTTATTCAGAATCTCTGATTCGTAGGATCGTGGTATTTCTCCCGTACCTCGATTAGGTTTCTAGTCAACCTACCATAAATGACTAGTGGCGACTCCAAGTTTAAATTTAGATCAAATAAACCCCGCTGTCACGTGAGGTATGATCAGGGAGAGACCCGTGTAGAAAAATACCTCCATTCTAGCACACGAGAGCGTGGCGCGACAATGCTAAGTCACAACAGTGGAGACCCGGCGTCATAATCCATGTAATACTCTACAAGCCCCATGAACCATTTAGGTTTAGACCTTTGATCTGTGCACTGGCCCAAGCACGGGTAATTTGCATGTAGTTAGCGGGATTCAAATGGATAACCTCTAGTTCTTGAATTGAGAATCCGTTAGATGCCCTAGTCACATACTCACACTTAATTTAACTTTTACCTAATGTGCATGCATTGTTAATTTCTTGACGTGACATAGTAATTGTACTTGTGCAAAAATTTTGTTTGCTTATTCTATGCTAACTCGTCGTTTATCAAGTTATTTATGTATTACCAAACTAATGTAAATTCACCATGTGATGTCTCAAATTCTTTTAAAAAATGTCTTACATATTTGAATATTTTTCTTCACAAGATTATAAAACAATATGTTCAATGCATATCCCTCATGTTACTAACAAAGAAAATAAGCACGTTTTGACTATAGATTGTTGCAAAATACCACATTTTCAAACTAAAACAAAAAAAAATGAATTCTTTACTTATTTATTAATTTCTACTTTTTAGATGTTAACTAAAAGATTATTCATGATATAAATTTATCAATCTTGGAAAATTAGGTAAAATAATTATTGGATATATTTTTATCGTGCCAAAGGCACAGATTTGCCACTAGAATATATGTTAAAATAGGTAGAGCACTAAAATTTATAGAAAGCACTTCGTACCTAGGTGCTAGTAGCATACGGCTACATGGTTGTTAGAATTGTGATTTAGATTGTACGATCAATGACCTACGATCCCAAATCTACTAAATAATCCCAACCAAACAAAAATTGGATTACAGATAGAACCATTTTAGATTGACACAAGGCAACAGTTCATGACTAGAAGATTGAAGTGACCTTGAGCAACCATCACTTAAGTAGATTTTTGATCGATCCAGGCCTACCAAAAAATATGCACTACAGCGTCACAAGGACCAATAAATATTCTCATAGTGAAGCTAGTAGCAGCACATAGTTCTGCATAACATCGATCACTCATAACCAGGCCATATCAAAAGTTCACTGCAGATGCTCGCAGCTTGGTATATTTTTAATCGTGTAAACCTATCCGGGCTCAATTTAAATTCAGACACAGGAATCAACGCCTTCCAACAACATTTGCGCATCTTGATGGTAAAGTCGTAAAAGAAGGCAAAAAAAAGAGGGTACAGAGTAACGTCCACAGCAACAATCACTATCATCCATATAGAAGCAAGAGGAGCATAAAAAATTCCTCTGCTAATCTGTTTACAAAGGAAGTGGCTGATACACAAAAGTAGGAAGATTGGAGTTGGACTAGCACTGGCAGCAAAGAGAGAGGCACATAATACACCGAGCAGGCACATCACAATCAACCAATTCTCCAGATTGTCCACTAAGCTTAATCCATGGCCAAAAGGCATATACATATTTATCTCCATACCGAGGTTTTACGAAATGCTTCTTACATATTGGTCAAGATTTGTATTGAAAAGGTCACACCTTCAAAAAGGATAAGAAAAGGTGTAAGGAGAGAAAATAACAGCTTCTGCAATTATGCAAATATAACTGACAGAAAGAAAAGCAATGGTCACCACAAAACGTCTTCATCCCAAATTCCTAATCATATGTCCACAGAAGTATTAGGACAGTGCAGGGTATGTTATCCAAAATGACAAAAAAGTATTATCGAGGATTTTAACAGACAGATATTTCTGCCAGACAATCTGACTATTGGTCCCGTACAGAACACTATTTCAACAATAGATCATCAACATCGACACGCATCATCTAATCAACCAGTTTAAACCAACAAAAGTTCATCAGTCACCTGATAGGAGTTCCTGGAGCGTAGAGAGGGCTTTTAGCCACATATTCAACGTATGGACTGTATATGTACTTCAGAGCTTCCCGTAGATCACCGGTCCTACGATGTGTAACCAAGATTATCGGCAAAGGTATGAGGAATAAGATGAAAAAAACAAAACAAAAGAAAAAGCAGATTGATGGTTGCTAAGAGTCTTTTAAAGAGAAGTACAATAATGGGCAAAAATCTGATCCAAGAATGCATCGGCATTAATATATTTGCTGAAGTTGCAAGCTATAGAAGCATAAGGAAAATACTTAGCACTGAAAAAGTAAGATGATCTGGCAATGTGATTCTCAGCAGATTCATTTTGCATTATTGAACCAAATAATAAGTAGTCGATGTAAGATAATAGAAGCTAACACGAGCAAACCATTTCTCTCATATCATGCATTCCAGGAACCACAAACATCTTATAATTTTGTGGTGCCTTTAGATAAATCAGAAGAGTGTCAGTTCCTTAATAATGCTGTGTTCATCTCGAATTAACCGGCTCATCATTAGCCTACCAAATAAGCATGATGGATTACGCATTTACGAGGCCGACCTCACCGTCACTGGGTTTCACCGGCCAGCACCGTCACAAGTCGGCCTCATCTTGGCTGGGTGAGGCTCGACCTCGCCTAGATCCAGCGAGGTCGGCTTGGCAGCGGCGGGTGTGGCTCGCCCTCACTAGTGACCGGCACGGTCCAGCTTCGCCAGAGGCTGGCAAGGTCGACCTCGCCAGTCTGTGCCTCTAGACCGGCTAGAGGAAAGAAGGCAAAAAAGAAAAAAGAAAAAGTATTAAAAATTTTGAAATATTAAAAATTGTCATGTCAGCCTTGGCCGGATGGCCAGCACTGGCTGGCGGCCACGTCAGCGCCGGCCGGCCAAAATTGACCGAATGGACTCAATTGGCAAGAAGTGAAAATGTTTAGGACTCAATTGGCAAACTTAAAATGTTTAAGACTGAATTGGCAAAAGCGCAATAGATTTAGGACTTTTGGACAATTTTCCCAAGGATGGCTGACGTTAATCTTCTTTTGTTTCCTTTCAGATTTAATTCAGCTGGCGGCGGTCTTTTATTCCAGATGATGTAGCAAATCTTTATTTCCTTCACACAATTGCAATGATTCATCCGACTTGCTCCTTTTATTTTTCTTTCTTCACTTCTCTCACTCGCTGCACTTGAAAACATTACACCAATCTCTCCTCTTGGCTGGCCGAAATTGCTGGATTGATTGGTCTCCTTGATTCCCTTCCGCATCTCTCATGCGAACAACCCTTTTCTCAGATCATGGGCGAGATTCGTAGTCGAGCATATTCTGAAGATATTTGCTAATCCGTGCGCCACCGAATGTATCACCCTGCCTTCTCAAATTTAAGTACGATGAGGCTAGGTCAGATGAAATTTATTGGATGCGGACATGCTTTATAATGACCAAATACCCAAACACGATGTGAAATTATGCAATGTTATTTTTTGTAATGAAAATTCAGTGGAATAGTCAAAATTTCAGTATCAACACCTGTTTGAAGTTTTCATAACATACAGAGGTTGACACGTAAATTAACATATGTTTTTTTTATAGTTTTTAAAATTAAAATAATATTTTCAATTTTCCTGAAAATACAAAAGTTTGTTTTAGCTTTGAATTTAGCTGAAACAAACGGACCTCGCAAATGTGAAAGACACGACAAAGGTGGAGATGAGAATGAGATGAGTCAAGTCCACTAGACAAAATTAATTGCAGCAAAAATTAGTGGTTGAGAGTATACACGGGTGTGGTTCCACATGACACTTATATGGCAAACCCCACTTCCAGTTGGTCAAAAAGAAGGTATTACCCTTGATCACGTTCGAAAATTAAACATTAGTGCAATTCATTAGGCAATAACCCGTTTCATTACTTAGACAGTGATCTTGCCATTGACACCTAAATTTTGACTATCATAATTAATCAATTACGGCATTAGAAAATTAGGAGTCGGCCTTGAACCCTTAAAAATATCGTTAGCATAGTTTGTATTTGCATTATAGATAATGGTATGGGAACTTGTCAACACAAGCTAGGATAAGCCAATGGACGAAGCCACCTTGAGTCAAAGTCAAAAGACTACCTTGGAGAAGGTTCAAGCAAAAGATCAATATGCATTGTCAATCATCTATCAAGCTTTTGATGATTCTCCATTCGAGAAGGTTTAGAACACTACTGCTTCTGTGGAGGCATGGAAGATCCTTTACAATACACACCAAGGAGAATAGAAAATTAAGATTCACCTTCAAACATTTTTGACATACGTGGCCTGCGTGAACACGAACCTTAGCTTCTGGATTCGTGCATGGAAGATCCCTTACAATACGAGTTGCGCCATAACCTCCGACAACGCCTCCACGACCTCAGCTCATTGTCATCATGAGGGTGTCGCGGGTTTTGGGCGACCCAGGATCCAGGGTCATTCGAAAACAAAGTTAGATTTAGGCTCAAGGATGTTGAATTTGGTGTCCCGAGCAACTCACTCTTCTTCGTCGGCTCTCTTCGCATCGACTCGATCCTATGCCAGCTCTCTCCGCACTACTCCTAGGCGAAAAACGTTGACGTTCGATTCTTACCGTCAGTTGTTGCTCCCTCGCCACCGAAAGACACCACCATCTGCCGTTCGCTACCCGCCACCCATCACCCTTCCACAGAGAAAAAACTCCCAACCACAGCCAATCTACGCACAACAATCGTCGTCCCATGCATGGCCACCATCGATCATCACACCACCTCAGCCATTTTCCCGAAGGCATCACCCAAGTGAGCACGAGCAGAGACATGGACGGCCACTATTAACCCATACCAATCGCCAATGTCTCAAACTGGCCATAGATTGAAGCCGGCTGCCATTCACAGCCCTCGCTGGTCGCTAGCAAAGCCGCAGTCAGTTGTCCTGTTTCTGCTCTGTTTTTCGGCAAAAAAGGCTTAAAGAGTTTGGGGTTCACCCGAAGCTCGTTCACTACGTCAATCACCAGTGATGGCTTTCCTCACTTTTTTCAAACCGCCGGAGTCAGTGTTAACCGTCGCCATTCGTCATCTCGGAGCAACAGAGGAGCGGCTCTATTCTGCCCTGTTTCTCTTTAGTGTCAACTTAAGAGATTTTATTTGAAATCTATAACAAGAAAATTTCGGAGATTTGAAAAGGCAAAATCGTGAAAGAGATCACGGCTAGCCAAGAGGAGAAATCAATGGGATATTTTTACTTGAAAATATGGCAGGCAAGAGGCAAGATGGTCAAGTGATTAAGCGGGGTTGGAAAGAGAGAAATTAAGGGAAAGAATGAAGAATTTAATGCTCATGGAATGAGCTGGCTATGAAATCATGGAGGTGATGAGTGAACTTGAGATGTATCTTATAATTATGGCAGCATAAGATATATCTTGTTCTTCCTTATTGTGGATACCTCAGCGGTTGCTCCATCCAAGGAAGAGAATATATCAATCCACTGCATGGATTGGATTTCCTTTTCCGACTAATTTTCGAGGACCACTCTGAATGTTGAGTGTCCTGATACCAAATTGATTTCCTAGTTTCAACTGAATTCTGACGGTCAGTGCTCCAACAACAGCAAAGAATATAGCCACAAAGCGACTAACGGATATATATATGTACGCAAAAACACTTGTGTTAGAGCTACGGAGCATAAAAAAAACCAGTATATGAATGCTACCGTCATGGCATCAGCAATGCAATTTTCCTTGCACAAGAGACAAGCACTCAACGTATTTGTTTTGATTCAATAATTTTGAACCCCTGTTCCATGAATGAACCTAATAGAGAAAAATGAAACGAACAGGTGACGGATCAAGAGTGAGGCAACATTAATGTGATATTTGAACTGATCTTCTTTCAATCCTCCTCCGCTAGCTCTCTGTGTTGACTCTGTCGCTCGTACTAGCACAAGTGGTGGTGTGCGCTTGGCACTAAAATGAACACTTTTTAATAACGACTGGCACTGAAGTGATCTCTTTTTAACGACTAACATTGAAGTGATCGCTTTAAAAAAAATTTGGCACTCAAATGATCACTATATACAACTTTTAGACGATGTGGTTTAGGGGTCATATGTTAACCGGACACACCGGCAAGCCATGTAGGACTGAGAAATTAATAAAATATGGCCACGTTAGATTTCCGTCGACCTAAATCGGAGTTGGCACTTAAGTGATCGTTTTTTTAAAAAGTTGACACTTAAGTGATCCATAACTAAAATGAGCGCCCTACACAACTTTTGGCACTTTTAGCGTCCTTCTTCCATTCAATTGAATTAATACAAAAAAACACGAACTAATACACGTGTGACAAACAGAGAGTAAAACCTTAAACTGATACATTCGTCAACTGCAGCAATTTGATAGTAAAATTTAATGAAAACTAACATAGGGTAAATTTGTCACAAGCATACCAGTTTGAGGTTTTTCATGGTAATTACCCTTTTTCTTTTTGTAATTGAAGTATTTCATGTCATAGCCATGAGCCAATGTGACAACCACCACCAACCATGAACGTACTATATCTCGGAGATCGGGGGATAGTGAGAGGATAGGCGAAATGTGTTAGAAAAGTCCTAAACTTATTGCATTTGTGTCAATTTAGTTCTAAACATTTTTTTGTGCCAATTTTTTTTTATGTAAATATGTGAGTATCATTAATCAGATGAGGTATAAGAGCTCAGAGGCATCCTCCAGCATTACAAAAAACTAATTATGCAAGAAGAGAAGATGGAGGATGGCAATCTCCATACAGTACCCAAACATTCGCCTGGGAAAAATGACAGTTTTGGTAGAATGACGCCCTACCCCTTATAACCTTACGAATCCTAGCCAACAGTAGATGAGCCTCAAGAGACTTGCTTTGGAATCGTCTACGGTTGCGTTCCATCCAAATACAATAAATAGTTGCTAAGAAGGATAACTTGAGGAGTTTCACCTCTAAGTTTTTTGCTCTTAGTGGCCCTGATCATCCATTGAAGCTCAAAATTCCAATCTCCCGCAGAATGCCAGATCCCATTTTGTGCGAGGATACTGCGCCATATACTACTGGTCCAGGAGCACTCAAAGAATAAGTGGGTTTTGTTTTCTATACCGGTCATACATAAATTACATTTAGTATCAACTAAAGGCAGCCAACGTGATATGGCTACTATTGTCGGTAACCTATCTCTACAAATAAGCCAGCCTATAAAGTTATGCTTGCTAATACCACTAGT